ATGGTTTTGCTATTGAATCGAAGACGATGCGCCGCGCTGCAGGAGACAGGTCTTGCCGTGCGGCAACGGCTTCCAACAACATCGAACCGCTCCGTCGAGCTTCGGGTGAGCTTTCATGGTGGAAAAGATACGCCCCTGCTTCCCAAAGAGCAAGCGATTGTTCCGGAGTGAACCACTGGAGTGACTTTGATATTTGTTCCGCCTCTTCTACAGCGTGGCCTAGAGACTGCCTCTGAGCCAATGTTCGGACTGCCGTATCGAAATCCCGTGCACCAGAGGTGTCGGAGGAACTGGATACGACGCTACCGCGATGCATTGAGTCAAATCCCAGTACAGTCCGACTGATCCTGCGTCCATCCGATGAATGCGATAAGGAATCGCTGCTATCGTGGAGCGAAATTGGGGAAGGTGACTTTGGGCGGGAAATGCTTAGTGACTTGAGTACGTCGACAAAACTTGATGCTGCGTGCTTGGTATAGTACGGGGATTGAGCATCGTCAGAAGACATGCGTCCCAGCGGACGAGGGGGTGCGTATGGGGTTCTTCAGGGCAGAGGACTATTATATCTGTCCGATGACCGGTCAGCGACGGGATTGTGACTAGAGGCCACGGAAGGTCACCGGTCAGCTGGAACTGACCAGCTCTACATCGGCGATCCACTTTACGCAAGATCTCACATACCATTGGCAGGTCATATGGATGGATCAGGACGAGAACAGATCCGCAGAAGGCGTATATATGAGGCTTTTACCGAATGTTACACTCGGAGAGCTGCTCCCAGCGGCATATCAGTGGGAAACTAGTACTCGGACAACCGGGATCGGGGAATCGGTCAAAGCATGTATTCCAACTCTTAGGCAGACAAAGGAAGGTTGCCGAACAAGTACAGCCGGGGTGAACAAAGAGACAGGGAAGCTAAGTTGATACTTTGGGGATATAATCAGAGCAAAAGTGCGCCAAGCCACTTTTCCCCTCCGAGCAGCGATGATGATGATCTGGCGGAGGTCGGCAAGGCTTTGATCCGCACCCGGTCACCTGATGGGCAGAATCACCCCGCGACCGCCACTCACCGCCTGGATTTTGCAAAGCAACCGCCAAACAAACTGCCAGTCCAGGAATCGAGCTCCCACCCGGCTTTTACTGGAGCCATTCTTTATTATACCCTTGGGTTCTTTCTCTAGATTAACCCGTTCTAGCTCTGCAAGCTCTTTCCCTCATTCTTCTTCAACAATCTGCATTTACCCCCTAATTTGTGTCACTTTTCCACATATATCACCCATATCACTCCCTTGGCTTCTTAGTTACATCCCCCCGCTTCAAAATGGCTGATGGTCTTGGGGCTGTTGCGCAGCTCCTCGAGGCAAGCTTGGATCCCAGGCAGAACAAGCAAGGTCGGTGATTTCTTTTTCTCTGCCTTTTACCTCACAGACTCACTTCTGAGTCCTTTGGAGGCTTTGATTTTTTTTACATTGCATTAATCAAAGAAACCTCAACTGATTGTGAAACCAGCCGAACTTGCTCTTCGCCAGGAGGAAAAAAAACCGAACTACTCTCTGCAGCTCCTCCAAATCACGGCTTCCGCGTCCTACCCTTACAATACCCGTTTGGCTAGCGCATTATGCTTCAAGAACTTTATTAAGAGGAACTGGACTGATGAAGATGGAAACTACAAGCTCCAGGCGGAGGAGGTAACTACCATCAAGCGGGAGCTGATCAGCCTGATGATCTCCGTCCCTACGGGCATTCAAACACAATTGGGAGAAGCTGTTAGCGTTATCGCCGACAGTGATTTCTGGGAGCGATGGGATACACTTGTGGATGTAAGTTAGAGAAGTGTCATGTTCCCGGCAGGTCAATTGACGTCCCTAGGATCTCGTTTCTCGACTCCAGCCGAACAACCCCGCTGTCAACAATGGCGTACTCCAAGTCGCACATTCGATTTTCAAGAGATGGAGACCCCTTTTCCGGTCGGATCAGCTGTACCTGGAAATCAATCATGTTCTCGAAAGATTCGGCAGCCCTTTCTTGGCTCTTTTCGAGGTGGGTTACTCAGAGCTCAAAATCATGCGCCAATCGTGTTGTCGAGGCAATGGGTTTTCTGACAGCAAACTGACTTCCTTATAGGGACTGGATGCCTACCTTGAGGAGAACAAATCCAACAAAGACAATCTTGTTCAGGGATTCACGCAACTCAATTTGATGATCAAATTGATGTATGACCTTTCTTGCCACGATCTTCCTCCGATGTTCGAAGAAAATATTTCAGGGATAGCCTCGCTCTTGCTCAAGTATCTGACCTACGATAACCAACTCCTGCACACTGATGACGATACCGAGGCAGGACAGCTGGAATTTGCGCGTGCTGGGATTTTCCAAGTCTTGACTCTGTACGTGCAAAAGTACATGGATGAGTTCAAGCCTCATATTGGACAATTTGTCGAAAGTTCATGGAGCTTCTTGACACTTATCGGTCAGGAAACCAAGTACGACATTTTGGTCAGCAGGGCTCTGCAATTCTTGACTTCGATTGCGGGCATGACCGAACATGCGGCCGTATTCCAGGCCGAAGGCACCCTCGGCCAAATTATCGAGAAGGTCATTCTCCCCAATGTCAGTTTGCGTGAATCTGACGAGGAGCTTTTCGAGGATGAGCCGATTGAGTTCATTCGTCGCGACCTGGAAGGCTCAGACAGCGATACTAGACGGCGTGCCGCAACCGACTTCCTGAGACGGCTTGCCGAGAGATTTGAGGAATCCGTTACGAGCGTTGTTCTCAGATACACTGAGCACTACCTCTCTGAATACGCCAAGGCTCCCGCCACTAACTGGAAGGCCAAGGACACTGCAACCTATCTTTTCTCTGCCATTGCAGCGAAGGGAACTGCTACGTCAAGCCACGGTGTGACTGCTACGAACAAACTTATTAGCATTACCGATTTCTTCCAGAAGCACCTTGCGGCTGATTTGATTAACGATGAGGGTGTACATCCCATTCTCAAGGTCGACGCCATCAAGTACCTCTACCTCTTCCGAAGCATTATCACCAAGGAGCAGTGGCAGGAAGTTCTCCCTATGTTGGTCAAGCACCTCGGCTCCTCGGAATATGTTGTCTACAGTTATGCGGCGATCGCCGTGGAGCGTGTCCTCTACCTTACCGACAGCCAAGGCCAACCGATCATTTCCCCCGCTACTATTACACCGCTGTCTAAGGACTTGTTGGAACACATCTTCTCACTGATCCAAAAGGACCAGGCCCCTCAGAAGGTGCAGGAGAACGAGTTCCTGATGAGATGTGCGATGAGAGTCCTGATCGTCATCAAGGAGGGCATTGTGCCGCACACCGACAGTGTCCTTCAGCACCTGATCACTATCACGAAAATCATCAGCAGCAACCCAAGCAACCCTAGGTTCTACTATTTCCACTTTGAAGCCCTTGGAGCTTTTATCCGGTACGTGATTTCCGGTAGTCGCTCGAACACGGTCACTAACCGATAGATTCTAGGTTTGCGGCCCCTGCCAACCCCGACAAACTCGAACAAGCTCTTTACGCTCCTTTCGCAGAGATCCTCTCAGGGGATGTGCAAGGTCAGTTGCAAACCATAAGGAACGGCACTATGAGCTGTGGCTAACGTATGATTAGAGTTCATGCCTTATATTTTCCAACTCTTTGCTGCACTTCTTGAGGCAAACCCCTCGGGAACACTCCCTGACTACTACCAGAACCTGATTGCCCCGATCCTGATGCCTGTCATGTGGGAGTCGAAGGGCAACATCCCTGCGCTTGTGCGACTTTTGTCGAGCATCATCCACCGCGGATCTCAATACATCATCCAGAATGAGCAAATTGCTCCTGTTCTGGGTATCTTCCAGAAGTTGCTTTCGACCAAGACCAATGAAGGTTATGGATTCGACCTGTTGGAGTCCGTGGTTGCAAACTTCCCTCCGTACGCGAAGCCCCGGTATGATCATTGATACGATCATTTGCTAATTATACTCCAGGGCAACACTGGAACAATACTTTGTTTCCATCATGCAGATTATCCTTACCCGCCTCCAGAATTCCAAGACGGAAAACCTGACCCTCCGATTCGTCCGTTTCTATCATTTCGTCTCTGCCCAGGATGACAAGGGCTACAGTGCTGACTTCGTCATCCAAGTGATCGACAAGGTCCAGCCCGAGTATGTACAATCCAATTTCACCGTGGGAGCTAGCATGCTAACTGCCTCCAGGCTGTTCACTCCCATCTATCTGAACATCATCCTTCCTGAAACACAAAAGCTCGCTCGTCCGTTGGACCGCAAGACCGCAGTGCTATCGTTCACTAAAACTCTTGCTAACTCGGAAGCCTTTGCTAACCGGTACAAGAAGGGATGGGGCTTCACATGTGAGGCTCTTCTCAAGCTTCTTGAGCTGCCTCCTCTCCCTGCCAGCAAGGATGACATCATCGCCGAGCATGACGTGGAGGATATGGCATTCGGTGTTGGTTTCACAGCGTTGAACACTGTGCGACCACAGACCAGGGACCCTTGGCCCGACACGGGCGCCGACCTGAAGGCCTGGACTGGCAAGTACCTAAAGGAAGCAGACAAGAAGCACAACGGGCGTATTTCCGGCTTTGTTCAGGAGCGTCTTGGAGCCGAGGCGAAGACAGTGCTACTTAGTTATATCGCATGAGCAGGCTAATGGAGCAATTTGCACCATTTACTGGGATGTATAAACAATCCTATGTCTGATAACTCGACCGTCTCTGCATTATGCCAAAAAGAAATCATGGAGAAAGTGTTGGCTAGCTTCAACCACTCCATTGCATGTCCTTATGAATTGAATTATATTTAGATGACACTGATATGCCTTAACTTCCTCGTAGTCGTGTTGCCAAGTGACTAGTGGTTGACGTTTTCTTTCTTAAGTTAAACTACGCTGGGAGAGCGACAGACAATGTGCCTTGATCCCGTGTGCGAACGCTAGAATAGCGGCGCACGCGATGCAGAGGATCACATTACCTCTGGCCTTGCGCGATATCTGGGAGATGGTTCTGCTGTAGACTCTGTTGAGCGGACAGCTGATGAGGACTTTGTATGTCTGTTGCCTCCAATTTTGATTCACGCTTTGAATCAGCCGACTCCGGTGCATCGTTCTCTTCTTCTGCTTCTTCTATCTCTTGACTCTCCTTGCCATCTTCGAGCTCACGATACTTGCGCCGGCTCTTCTTCATTTTACTGGCCTTCTTCTTCCTGGCGCGGTCGGCCTTGATGGCCGCACGACTTTGATCCCCATTCAAGAGCTCTTCGACCTTGTCAGCAAGCAGCTGACGGGCAATCTTTTCATTCTGGGAACGGGATCTTGTGGCTTGAGACTTGACCACTACACCCGTGGGTTTGTGTATGATCTGGACGGCAGAGTTGGTTTTATTCTAGGCATTGGAAAAGAAGAAAGTAAGTATCAGATAATAAAGTTAACCAGCGGAGTGAGAATTGGGGTGGGGGGATAGGAGATATTATATCTGGTTGACATACGATTTTTTGGCCTCCAGGGCCAGTGCCCTTAAGGTATGAGATGGTCACGTCGGCATCTTGGATCTTCAGGCGGGGAGGCAAGGCTTTGTCGGCGAGGGAGAGCGCAGAGAGAGTGAAGAATCTTGGGAGGGTGGGGAGGTAATTGGATATGAGAAAGGGGCGTGTGATGTAGGGGGTCAAGTGGAGGGGACGGAACATGGTGATCTGAGGCGCCTATTACTAGGTTCCATCTGGAGTACTCTATTATTGCTTGATTAGTATTACATGAAGCTGGCTGGTGTAATTGGCGGCGACGTACGGAGTGCTGCTGCTGCTGCTAAGTACTACTTAGTAGTACTGCCGGGATGGGCAAGAAATCATCACTGGATCTGGACCCGTGTTACAATACCATACCATAATTTACCATTCACTGGTCGGTGACTAAGACAGTTAGTCTCGCACCACACCAGATAACTCTTCTAGTTGGTTTTTCCTATTGCCCTACTTACTACTATCAACTCCGTACTCCAACTGCGGTTCACCTCTTCTTCCATCGGAACTGATTCTCTGGTTTCCAAACAATATGGAGGATTGGGATTGGATTTGTCTCACCTCTTTCTCACCCTGAATCTACAAAGTAATTGATAGGCCTGGGGAAAATTGGCCAAGCGGAGAGGGTGACGTACGCCGCCCAGTGGATGCGCGGACGACAGCCATCGTCGCACGCCAATCAGTGTCAGATCGCGCGGGAAAATCCTCCCCATGAAGGGCAAAGACAGGCAGGGTAGGCATTTGTTTCCAGTGAACTGGATGAGAGTCTGAAACTTTGCACGCTGCAATCCTTCGGCTGGACCCTGAGGGGAGAGGGAAGTGGACCTTTTGGTTTGCTTCTCTCCCGTGGCGGTGGATTTGATTTTGACTTAGTCTCGGCGGCCGATTTGAAACAGTGTCCAGATCGCAAGCATGGACTTGACGGGGGCGCCGGTCTAACTCTCTAGTTATCTGAATTCGTATTCGTTCTTCATGACTTTAAATTATATGACTATCTGTTCCGTCCGGCTGTGAAGCTATTCTTAGTTGGGGTGGCCATCCTACCTACTTTTTTCCCCCATTCCTGTTCCCCTGGACTTAATCTGAGCTTCTTTTACATTGAGGGGGCTAATTTACTCTTCTACTTTTCTCTCAACCATCACAGCCTCCTGCCAAATTTCTCCCTCTTACTTTCTGTCCCTTTCACCGACTGGAATTGATCAGCTCTTTGTCGATCAACCCACACCTTGATAGTATTATTTCTTTTTTTCTTTTCTTTTTTTTTTAATTATTCTATTACTTATTTTCTTTTTTCCCCTCTGTGACCTGCCGGCTTAGTACTTTATCTTTTCCTCCATCAGCAAACCGACTGGACAGATCATGGAAGCCTAGTTGAACTTCAACAAAATTATCTCCGTCTTCCTACTACTTTTCCTCCTCCCTTCCCCAGCGCGCCGGGACCAATTACTTCAACCTCAGTGGGCGACTGCGATAATACTCTTAAGGACTTTCCGGGGCAGGAGCTAATTCCACCCCTCATCACCCTCGTATTCCGCGCTTTTCTCCGCTTCTTCACTTTCTTTGACCTTCTCCTGGCTCGCCGCCGGTCCCCCTTTCGTTCAATCCTTTCACAACCCGCCACCCTCCCACCATGTCTCTCTTCTGGATCCTGAACTCCTTTATGCGCTGGGTGCGCTTGAAGATATATCAATATGAGGTGACCTTCGCCGTGTACATGCTTACGCCTACCGAAAAGTTCATTTTTAGTATGTTCACCTGGTTGACATTGAGCGCCCCCCCCCCCCCTCAAGTTTCGAGATTGCATTTTTCTTGCATTAAAGCCGCATGGTACTAACGGGGAACGTTCTAGATTCCCTTCTCCTCACTCTCCTCTCAATGATCGTAACCGGCATTTATGTCTACCTTCCCGACCACATCCGATCCATCTATAGCCACCTTTACTACTACTGGGCTGGCGAACGTCCGTTTATCTCTGCGAGCCTTCCATCGATCAGCTCCGTATTCCGCGAGACCGGTACCCAGACTTTGGAAGTGATGTACGAGACGGCCAAGAATGCTGCTGCGACGGCCACTGCCCCAATCGCCGAACTGTGATATCCCCCCGCCACAGTAACAATACGGGTTGGATTCTCGGTGTTGGTGACGATTGTGGGCTGCTGGATTGGGTCATCTGGCTTCTCTGTTTCTCCTTGTGATACCATCGGGACTTTTCTTGCATTTCGCTATTCGTATCCGCATACTGGCTGCCACTAATTATCCTCTATGACCGCATGCCTCTCTTGTCCTCGAGCATGGATTGCATCAGCATTTCACGATTCACCGCACTGCTCCTCCACCGAACGGTTCCTATCGGCGTTGTGAAGTTGTTTCATGGAGTTTGAGCGATACTGTTCTGAGCGGGCCGGCGCATCCTAGGAGTTTCATCATCTTCGTTTTGTTTCCTCCCCTGGTTCATACTCTGCCTCACGCATATTGTTTATACCGTATCGAGGCAAATCATTGTTACGATCACATACTTTGGTTGCTCGTGTTACTTTGCGCGACTGGACGCTGGAGATCCACGGACTGCACATTTTCTAACATATAAATTTTTAATTCTGTACGGAGCACGACAGTAACGCCGGAGGTAGCACCGAATGCTTTGGAATGCCACGATTTCTTGCACCAATATGCTCAGCCGAGCAGAAACTTTTGCTTTGACATTGCGCCAGATAGAAGTACATATAAGTTGAAGTAAAACAATATAAACACAAATATACCCAATCCAATCATCAAGCCCATCAATCAACCAAATGCAACTCCCGCCATGCTCAGAGAAGAGTGTTATACAAAACCAGAAAAAGAGCCCCCCCCCCCAATCGTAGGTACGGGAGTAGGACACCGTGCAACATAGCCCCCATTTTCACCTTCGTCGCACATACACACACATAGGAAATGTGCGGTACGCATATAAAAGTATACATATATGCCGGTTCCGAACAGATCCGCCAGTGTATTCCCCCCGCTTAGACAGATACTTATCCCACCCCAAATCCATAGTCTGTGTAGACAATCACCGATAACCCCTTATATATCAACCACAACCACACCCGCGCCGCACCGCACCCATCATTGAATTCTCGTAGTCCATTTTTTACTCCGCATTCGAAGATGCCGCCTGAGCCTGAGCCTGAGCCTCAGCCTCCAACGCCGCGCGCTGCTGTCGCTTCTCCCGCTTGACCGCATCCAACATGCGCATGCGCGACAATTCACGATCAATCTCTTCTTTCTCGAGGGGGATCTTGTGCGATTGCTCGGTGGTGGGCCAGAAGCCGGGGACGCTGAAGCGGTCATCGAGATTCGTGCCGAAGTAATACATCCATCCGATGGGGAAGATGATGTACATGCCGAACTAGATGGGATTAGACTCTGCTGCTCTTCCACTGGGCATGGAATGAGTGAGAAATTGGTGCTGTGCATACCTTGAACACCTCGAGGTTGCCTCCCTGGAGTCTGCGGAGAATGGAGGACATGGTGGGCTGTTGCTGTTGGTGGTGGGATGGATGGACGGGTGGTGAGTGAGTGAGTGTGTCTTTAATCTTTGATTCTCCTTGATGTGGTTGTATATGAGGGGAGCAAAAGAGTAAACTATGCTAATGTCGAGGTATAGAGTTGCGGTATCCTTCCTGATCCGTCCACCGACGAAACAAATTAATCTGGGCTGATCGTTTCCGATACTAAGTACGGACGGATTATTATCACGGAGCTTCTGACTATGCCATGCCGGACCATGTATTGCAAACAGAGCAAATATTTCCCACGTGCCGTGCAAGTCAGGTGATGTGAATTACTCAGCAGGACTCGACTCGACTTCGCGGCCTGCCGTGGGCCGAGGCTCCTAAGCCTCGGTCCGTGGGTTTCCCCGCATAGGCGTTGGATGGAGGAGGTTAGCAGATCCCCGTTAGTAGACTCCATATTACCAGGGACTAATAAGACTCGAGGGTTTCCTGGAATTGCTTTTTATCTAGAAATGTCAGTCGCCGAATACTTCCATCTGACCTTGCAAGTGTGCACTTAGAGAAGGTTACACAGCATCTCCTTGTTTCTTTCTTTTGAAGCGGCTTTAAACCCTCCGGGTCTCCGATAGTCACTATCCAACAAGTTCTATACCTAGCGTAACCCCTATCTCCTACTATTTACACACTCTTCTCTGTGACAGCACAGCACACGAACCACCCCGATCTCCAACATGGCTACCACCACCGAAGACCCTATCACACTCACATACCAAGGCCGCCTGGCAATAATCACCCTCAACCGGCCCAAGAAACTCAATGCCCTAGACGCAGATCTCTACTACCTCCTCGGCGAACGTCTCCGCGAAGTAGACAAGCGCGATGACATCTACATCACCATTCTCACGGGCTCAGGACGTTACTTCTCCGCGTGAGTCTCGCCCCTCCCTTCCCCCTCCCTTCCCCAACTGCATCGAAACTAATGCCCTCCATCTCCAGCGGCGCGGACGTAAACTCCACCCGCCCCGGCGGCGGCCTCGGCACCTCCGCACGACGAGAACTCGCCCGATCGTTCGTAATAAACAACTACGACATCACACACACGTTCGCGCACCACTCAAAGATCCTCATCGCGGCACTCAACGGCCCCGCCGTCGGACTCTCCGCGGCCCTCATCGCCCTCGCGGACTTCATCTACGCCGCGCCGCACACCTTCCTCCTCACGCCGTTCGCCTCGCTGGGTCTCGTCGCGGAGGGTGGGTCGTCGCGGGCGTTTGTGGAACGGTTGGGCATCGCGAAGGCCAACGAGGCGCTTATTATGAGTAAGCGGATTACGTGTGAGGAGTTGGTGGCCACGGGGTTCGTGAATAAGGTGTTTACGGCGCCGAGTGGGAAGAGTGATGATAGTGAGGGGTTCCTGGGGTTGGTGTTGCAGGAGGTCGAGGAGAGGTTGGGGTTGCATTTGAATCAGGATAGTTTGCTGAAGATTAAGGAGTTGATTAGACGGCCTGAGAGGGAGGTGTTGGATCGTCAGAATGGGTTGGAGGTTTTTGGCGGGCTTGAAAGGTTTTTGAGTGGTGTACCGCAGGAGGAGTTTAGGAGGGTGGCGAGTGGGGAGAAGAAGCATAAGTTGTGAGTGACTGGGTGACTGAGTGAGGGGGTATATAGTAGTGG